ATTTTATAAAAGTTACCTACTTGCTTTAAATTGTACTCATTACACATTATACATTTTAGTAGCCATAACTTGGTGGTCATGAGTCCACCATGAATATTGCTGGACAGGTTTTTAGGTATTTTACCTTGTTTCAGCAGGAAAAGCATATAATGAAATAAATGATGGGTAATTAGCTTAGCTCCAGAACAGAGCCATCTTCAACATTATTAATAACACCTGTGCTTTTCCTACTGTGACAAGTCAGCAAGTTTCTGCTGTGAAAAAGGCCTATCCTGCATCCAGATGCTGATGTTTCTCAACATTTTCCCTTTATGAACATAGCTTCTCCCACAATGAATCAACATTTGAATGTTTCCCGTGTATGACACCATAGCTGCATAATATGGTCTCGGTTTGTACATCGACAGGGCAAGGAAACGGGAAAGGATCCTTGTTTGTTTTTTTGGTACCTCACACAAGTCTTTACAGACATTATGAGTCAGTCTGCTTCTTATGGTGCCTTAGCTCAGAGTTCACAGGTAGTGATGTACGCTGTATTTCTAAAAACCATTACCTGACCCATATATCGGTTGGCTGATCTTATTGGCTAATAATGGCCTATCACAGACATATCTGTATCAATATAATTTTCAATATTGGCTATGTGTGCCTATTTTTATTTGGTATATAATGCAAAAAGGCTTGTAGTTTCTTAGCTATTTATTTTATTTACATTTATTCTTTATAGTGTTAATTATTTAACATGTTAAAGAATATTTAACATAAATATTCTTTATATATTCTAATATTTAACTTCCCTCGTTAAAAAATAAATAAACCTCACAAACCGAACTTAAAGGCAGTTATACTCTCATGGTCATGAGCAGAGTGCTTTTGGTTTAATATGGTGTTCAGAATGCTGTCAGGAGCCGGGCAGTCTGACTGCACCGCTGCACGCATCATCAGACACCACAGAAGGTTAAAGACAGAGCCTGATGACTTAAACATACAGTCTGATGCCACACCTCTGCCCGACCTGCCTGAAAACCCATCCTCCACACTTTCAATTCCCAGAAACAATCAAATCAGTGTAAAAACTCTCCAATCTGTACTTCGGTTCGACTCTTTTATTTTAAATGCAACAGCAGGTTTGACACCAACAACAGCCATGTGCTCTGCTGGGTGTCCTTGAGCAAGACATTTCAAGACATTGATCAGTTTGAAACTGTATGTTGTTCAGTGTCACTGAAATACACCATGATGTACGCCTAGTGATTCTTCTCCTGCAGGGCAGTGGGCATAGGAAGTACTTCTCTCGGGTTAATGCTCCCCTTCCACAATATCACAACAGACAGATTTGATGTAAAAACCAGTTGAAATCATTTGTAACAATAATTATACATTACAGTGAAATCAGAGTACTTCAAAAACCGAAACAATTGCACATTAAAAATCAAAACTGGGGCAATAATATCAAACTTTTTGGCATCTTGTTGCACCGGTGTTGACATGTCATGCACATAATTTAATCTAGTGACTGCAAGGATGATAAAAACAGGAAGGTAGAAACAGACCTAGGTTCAGCTGCACATGAAATATAAAAACTATGACCAGAAATGTGTTTAGGAAGCCTTTATTAGCTGATCTGGACACTGACAAATGACACAGTGTTTCTGTGACTGTATGAGTGCGGAAGGACGCTTGGATGGAGCAGCACATTGGCTAACTACTGAACCGACTGGGTTTATCCAGCTGGCTAGATACTACTGTGACTACCAGACAACATTTGTCCAAACATGTTGCTAAAAACCAGAATCATACCTGTCTGAAATGATGTACTCTAACTAGATAGCTAATTCCTTAAAGTGACTCAGGGTGTATCCATTAGGAATCTTTCTAAGTGCCACTACTTTTAAAGTGCTTGCAATGACCTACCCACACCAGCTTGTTTTTTATTTTATAAGAGCGCTCTTCATTTTATGTGTGGGAGTCTCCAAGCACTTAAGTTTTAATGTCAGCAGGCTCAGAAAGTAGTGACAAATCTGCATCACAACTTCTCAGAGCTCACACTGACGTATTTAAAATGATCATGTTGTCCAAACCCCAAAGGTTTTCGTCATAGACGACTAATACCAGTAAATATTCATATTTGAGATGCTGTAACAACTGAATGCCATTTTTGCTTCCTGATTTACTTCAATAATTATAAAACTTCAACACTAAATATTAGTTAAAAATCTGGTTGAAATTTGGCAAAAATCTCAGCGGAGGAGGCTGGAGATTAAAGTGACAACAATCTTATTGTTTACCACAGCGGAAACAGGCAAAACACAGAAATGACTGCGAGTGAAAAATAAAGAACGGGATGTGGAGCTCAGAACGGTTGCAGCCTTAAAGGACTCGACAAGAGACTCCTGTAATTACCGACCTGTCATGATTATTTTCAGACTGTTTCATTAATGAGAATTAAGGTTCTTGCCTGACTGTTGTCTAATCCTCCCACTCATAGGCGGCACTATTAAGAGGCTAGCTAGCTTCCCCGAAATTACAAAAAAAAAAAAGTGACTTCACCAGCTACCTCATGTAGCTGTAGTGCTGTCAGTGTCACATACTGATCTGAGTTCAGTAGCAGACATTCAGCACCCGCACACTGATATTCAGCGCAGGCTGATTAAGCTGTCACTGTTCACAGATCAGTGGGGAAGCTTCTCTGTCACACATATCACTACGTCATGTGCGCACACCTTTCCTGTTATTTTTTGCAGTGTAATATTGTTTTGGTGGTCTGTGGGTGAAGTTGCCTTGGCCTACCCGTGGTCTGGTCAGCGCCTACTGTATCAAGCTTACACACATACTGTGTATGGTGTAACCTGCTGTCGGTTACTTGTCGTGGTGGTGGGAAAAGCTATAATTAGCTTATTTTCAACTCACTATGAATTTAAATTATGTCTGTGTTGGTAAAATATAATTACAGGGTTGAGATCTCTGCCTCAGCTTATAGACATGCAATCACCTTCATTCACATGAGCTCTGGATAAATGAATGTAACTTTGTGTGAAGAATAAGAATACGAAATTAGATTTTAACTTTAGTTGAGTAAGGTTCATGATGTTTTTGTTTGTCATATGGAGCAATTAAATCATCATTTATGCCCTAGCGCCGCCTACGCTCATGCTCTCTCCCGTGATAGTTGTTGCTTGTTGTCCCACATCAGCTCCCCCCCAGGCTTCCTTCTTTTTGCCCAAATGTGGATTCTGGCTGCGATATGTGACAAAGCTGGCAGTGTGTGAATTGTAAACCTCAACTCCTGGCTTCAGAATGTCAGAGGTTAGATGGTCGGTGTCACAGCGGGGAATGATGTTACATGTGAGCAGTATGAGCTTTTTGTTTTTCAGGCACTTGTTCCCCTTCGGGCTTCTCTGATCACTTAAGATGCAAGTGGACACACACCTTTCATAACTAACTAGCAAAGATGACAAACAAGTGACTGATTGATCAAGTGATGGTTACCTTCTTTCAGAGTTCATTACAGTTGACTAACTGTTTCCTCTGCTAGGATAGAATTACCTGACTGACTGATTAATGAAAAGAACAGAGTCTGTTTAACACAATATGCTTCCAAATTGGTTTGTTGTTGCTGGAAGGGCAACTGTAGGCTGAGCTTAGTTTAAAGAAGGTTCTGGTCGACAGTCCTGATAAAGCAATGATAATAACACTTTAAATCTGCACAGGTTATTGGACTGCTGAGGTGGAGAAAGGGCTGGTCCTTCAAGACATTGAGCTTTACAGAGGTAAGGAAAGATGAGAGGAGAACCTGGTGTATAGTTCGTTCTGGTGCAATAATTGTAGTAATATTGTGTAATTGATGCAGTCTGATGTCGAATCACCTGTAATCTGAGCACAGCCTAGCTCTAGCTGATTTATGTATTTTGTTAAATCAGTGTGCATTTAAAGCCCCTACAAGGAACTCTCTTTTTGTGTTGATTCTGGCGGCCCCTGTGGATGAAAGCGGTAGTGTGCCTACCGCCTGCTTTCATTGATTTCAAAGGGAATCCGACCTGGTGGAAGGTGTTACGAATAACACTATAGAAATAGACAGTCGCTGATGGTCTTGTTTGTTTATGTAGGTCATATAGAGGATCAGTATTAAACTAAGACTGTATCAGAACCAGCTACAAACTCCTTCTAGTACAATTAAGTATTAAGTCATATGCCTTGGGAGTCAACAGCCAATCAGCCTTAAAGTTCTAAATTTAAAGAAATATGATTTGATGAAATGATCCAAACACAGTCTTCGTAAAACCAGCTCAGATCAACACTTTGACATATTTTGACAATACAGACCCATGTCCAGCCAAACGCTTTCTCTTTTGACACTTCTTAAAAACTTAAAATAATTATAATAACAATATCTTTCCAGTATTAAATAATCTTATATAAAAACACACACACATAAAGGTTTGAAATAAATGGCAATGCTCCCACCCCCCCAGTTCACAACATACATTTCTATACACATCATCCAACTTTTGCGTCTCTCGTTCCTTCCATGAATACCTCCTTCCCTTCATCAGTAACGCTACTTCCATTGCCGCGGCTCCATGCAGTACCAGTTATTTTGCAGCAAATAGTCTCTGTTGCTGTTGTCGTTCAAGTCTTGTCTTTTGTATATTTCAATGCAAAGCTGCACAGACATTGTGAAAAAAGCTTGATAGGTGATTTTTCTGGCTTGCTTGTATACAGATATATATATATACATATATATATTTTTACTCATGTCATTGGATTAAACATGTATTGGTAATGGTAGTAATAATGAGGATGATAATAATAATGAGGATAATAGGAACAATCATAATCTGATTAAGAGTAGGAAAGACGGCTTGCTACTTGCTCGGAATCCAAGGGTGGATGGTTTAGGATGAGGAGAGACGGACAAGTCAAGACAGACACTGATTACTTCTCTGCAGGAACAATGAGACCTAAATAGTCAGTTCAGTTTTTTAGGCTCCACCCAGTGTCCCTGCTCCCTACCAATCACTGGTCAGTTTGGTGCTTTGGTCCCGTTTTGGAGGAGCGGGAGGAGGGCCTCGCCGCAGCGTTGCATAGCCTGAGATGTTGGCATGTTTGGTGGAGTGGGAGTGTGTGTGGTGACGAGACAAAGTCTGGGAGTGTCCTCGGACTCCCTGCTGCTGTTGCTGCTGCAGGAGCTCGGGGGGAGGAGGTGGGAGGAGTGCCATGTCGTCCATGGTGCCCACAGGCTCCATCTTAGAGGAGGGGATGAGGTGGGAAGAGGTGAGTGAGCCATGGCGGGACACTGACTTCCTCTTAAGGGTGCGATTAAGGTCTTCCAGGAAGAGAGGCTTTAGTGCCAGGGAGCCTGGCCCCGCTGATTTCGGGGAGGTTGGGGGAACAGGAGAGGAGGAGGAAGAATAAGAGGACAGAGAGGGAGGTGGGGTCTGAGACATAGGGGGCGGCGAGAGGGGCATTGAAATTGTATTGTCATACTGGGCGGTGTTGCTGGTCCGCCGGTTCAGTGCTGGGGGAGGGACTGCCCCCTTTTTCAGTGAACCTTGTTTCCATGACGAGGACGACAAGGAGGAGGTTGCCGACTGTTGAGGTGGCTGCATCTGAGGCTGAGGGTTCACCACGGCGACCTTTGGGGGGTGGTGGAACTCTGATGGGTGGGGAGGAGGAGGGAAAAGCTCAAAGTCACTGGGGGGAGGTGGGAAGTAGTCAGGTGATGAGTCCAGGTGAGCAGGCTGCGAGGGGGGAGGTGGCGGAAGAGGGGATGGGAACTCAGTGGGCTGATGGTGCTGGCCCGTCTGCAACCCCTGCAGCGCCAACGGCAGGTTCGCCAAGTTCAGCTTCCCCGGTTTAGGGAGCGGAGCAGGAAGCGCAGAGGACTCTTTTGAAGGAGACCCAGTCACTGACGAGGAGCTGGATGAAGTACCCGTTTGAGGAGCTTGGCCAAATTTATTGACCAGGCTCTCCACCTTCTTTGGCCTCTCATCGTGGGTCTCGCTCGATGAGCTGGACCGGATGGAGGAAGCTCTCTGCGGGGTCGGTGGAGGCCCCCGCTTGGTGGATCCCGTGGACGAGGTGGAAGGCGACTTCTTTATGGGGGAGCCTGTCTTGGAGGAGGATGAAGAGGGAGGTGGAGGGAAATCTCCCAGTGAGCTGTCAGGAGGAGGTGGGGGGAACTCTGGGGACTGTGGAGCCACAACGCCTCCTGGCTGCCACTTTGGTTTGGCCTTGACTGCTGGAGGAGACTGAGGAGCAGTGAACTTTGATCCTTCCATGGAGTTGGAGGCAGGCAGAGAGGAAGGGGCAGAGTTTCCTGGGAATTGATTGACAATCTGTTTGACCAGAGAGGAGGTAGCTGCCGCAATGGATACCGAAGAAGAGGAGGACGAGGGAGAGAGGGCAAGGTTTTTGGAGGAGAGGCTGTGCTGCTTTGGCAGAGTGGGAGGTGGCTGATTTGGGGAATGTCCTGTTGAGAAACTCTGCTGCTTTTTAACTGGCCCGTGGCCACTGTGGGGCTGCGTTGGCGACACAGGTGAGAGGGCAATTGGGAGGGAAGAGGGACCCGAGGGTTTGGGAGCAGTTTGAGGGGGAAAACCACCAGTGAAGGTTTTGGGAGGTGCGGGAGGGGGCGCATTGGGGGACAGAGGCCGAAGAACTTGCAGGGAGGTAGGAGGAGAAAGCTCGGTTGGAAGTGGAGGAGGCTGAGAATTCTCCTCACCCACAGGTGGGCTGAAGTCGTAGACCATGTTGGGAAACTTCTGTGCCAGGAACTGCTGGAGGCCACTGTTGGAGAGTTGAGGGCAGGAGTTAAGGACGTGCTCTGGTGGTGGGGGCAGAGGCAACCCATTGGTCTCCAGGCTCTCTGGTGGAGGAGGTGGGAGGTTGTAGGGCTCCTGCATGTCCTCCTCCAGTGGGGGTGGTGGCGGGAGAGCGGAAGGGCTTGATGGACCAAACATCAGTGCGGCCATAGCTGAGCCAGGAGCCGGCACTGCGGGTGGAGGAGGAGGGGGAGGAGAGGGTGGTAGTGGAGGGGAGGTGCTGTAAGCAGCTGGGAGGGTGTTGTAGTTTGGTTTGGCAAACTGGATGGGAAGAGAAGGTGGAGTGGCTCCTGCCGGCTGTGTCCTGGACTGGTTCTGGTTCTGGCTCTGCAGTCGAGCGAGCGTGCTGTACTTAATGTATGAGGAGGTAGGTGCTGGCTGGTGGGCCACACTTGCGATGGGGGGCGGAGGCGGAGGTGGAGGAGGCGAGGGCGGTGACGGGGAGGAGTCCTCAGATGTGATGAGGCCGTCGGTGTAGCTGGACCGGGAGGGTGGGGTCTGAGGCTGAGAGAGGGGGAGAGGCTGGGGAGAGAGGGAAGGTATCTGGAGAGGGATGGGCCTACTGATAGGGTCGATCTTCATCATCTGGAGAGAGAAATGGAGAGGAGGAGGAGGAGGAGGAGAAAGGAACAAGAGAAGGAGGGAATCAAAGGTAGGGAGAGAAGCAGTAGAAGAAGATGAAGAGACACAAAGGGGTGATGACAGGAAGAAAGACAAAATTACAACGAGTAACAAACAACTCCAATCGTCTTGTTTCTGCAACCAAACAATCCAAGACAGGATGCAAAGAATCAAACAGCCAACCGGTGCAGAGAACACACAGCTAAACACATCACAACGTTGAATAAGGTCAAGAAACCTTCTCACTCACTGACAAAACTCTGCTGTCCTACAATAATCACCTCTACAGACTTTACATCATTTTTGACTGTTTAATGCGTAAAACCAATGTTTAAAGCTTAACTGGTTTAAAATAGTGTCAAACATATTCTGAACAGCCCCTATCAGACTGCCTTTTAGAGGTATCAAATAGTTTCTGAACTGTTCTTGTTCTTGAACCTGCCAAACTGAACACTGTCCAAAACGCTTTACACACAAGGTCACAAGGTCATTTACCAGGTTAGAAGTGTACCAACCTGTGACAATCTGGTCATAAACTCTATGGGTCCAACTACAGTGTGCATTTTTGCTCTATTATTTATTGGTTAGGACATTCCATCACACCACGGGGTTAGAACAAATCAACAGTTCAGCTGCAGCCATTCAAAAACAGTACAGCTCATGTATTTATAGCCAAAGTCAAGTTCACCTCAAACTTACATACACTTACAAATCTGACATACTGTATATCCATTATGTATAACATTATTATTGTATTAACATTATTTGCTGAGCTTCAGATAATCAACAACTGCAAGTCTTAGTTATCCTGGTTTAATGTACGTCATCAGTAGTTGCAAATAGCCAACATAAGTTAAAGATCTGTTTTTGTGTTTTAGCCTCTTTAGATTGGTACAGATTAACACTGGTGAAAATACTATGTGAATTTCCCACAGAAGGTTGAAAACGTCTGTCTTTTGTCTGATTAATATCTTTGAAAATCCTTTAGAGATTTGAAGACAAAACGTCACTCGTGTGAGGAGATGTATCAAGACTTACAAAGGGCAATAACTATCGCTACAGCCATAAGTGCAATTAAACTACATCTACCCATTAAAGTAGTGAGTACACACACACACACACACACACACAGCTTGGTTTTTCAATGTCTGCAGCTAAACTGTTAACATGCCTGTTACATCACTTCCTGTCTAACCTCCACTCCCTCCTCCTCCTGCACAAAGAGGAACTGGCATACGTCCCTTCACCTTTGACCGCTGGCAGGGAAGCAGAGGGGAAATATGGGAAATGTAGACCACAAAGTCAACAGGACAATGACAGGAAAGGATTAGGACAGAGTGTGTGTGTGTGTGTGTTCACACCTCTCCTTGCGTTCCTCTCCTCCAGGCGTCGGAGAAGATGGAGCTGACGACGCTCTGGGAGCGGGTGTGGCCTGATGATGTCATCTCTGATACGCCGCTGTCCGATTGGCTGGAGTGGTTGGACTGGGACTCTGGGGTGTGGACACACAAGCAGAAGTAAGTTTTGTTAAACTTTTACTCCAGATAATGATGCTTATTCTGTTTTCAACTAGTTGATAACTATTATTGGATATTATTTATACTGAAAATTACTGTGCTTCATTTTGTATGACCAGTAGAAAGTCTCTACAAATTAAACATTTGACCTTTTGAACTTGCCGTAGAATTATTCAAGGTTTCCCACACCTTCTCAAATATGAATTCAAAGACTTTCCAATTCCCTCAAATTCAAGAACCCAACATGGTGTAGTTTGAGACACGGATCAAGGTTAATTGCTCTCACACATTGAGAATTTTTAAATGACAACTAGGAGGCTTCACAGAAGCTCACAGACAAGAGTATAAATAAAATAATCATAAATAATAAAATGTCAAAAGAACTTCAATTTTCCATAAAATGTATCTATCTATTTGTCTATTTTCAAAAAATGTTCAAGCCCTTGATTATGTCCTCTTAAATTCACAAACTTCCATAGATGTCAAGGAGCCGTGGGAACCATGATTGGCAGACGGACCGACCTGGAAGGCTGGAGGAGCTCGATCCTGACTTGATGGAGGAGGAAGAGAGGGAGGACCAATCATAGGCCGCCTCCGTCCGTCTCATTGCCTCCTGGAAATTGATGTACAGCTGCTTCCCGTACTGACAGACAGACAGACGGACAGACAGCAGGTATTAGCATATATAAAACTACATGGAAATAACAACACATTAACTGCATTGAAGCAATCTGACTCTACAAGGATTTAATAGTAAAGCCCGACCAATATGGTGGCCAAATCAGTGAATGGAAATAGATGTTCTCTATGTGGATGGTGCACCGCTTTGACTATGCAGGTACTCACAAGGCTTTTTTTTTTCAACATATTTTTTCATATTATTTTTGTACTGGTGTGTAACTGATAACATATACGCCCATACTGAGAGGCCAATATCAGCAGGCCATTAGCATATGATACACGTGTCACTACCTTAGCGATGCGAATACTGTTGATCCACTGCTGGAGGGTTCTGACATCATCACAGCAGAGGTACTTGATGTACTGAGACTTCTTCTGGATCTGAGGGTGCTATACACACACACACACACACACACACACACACACACACGTAATGTGAAAGTAAGTAATGTTATTACTACTGTTATTTTTAGAATCACTACTATTACTACAACTCCTGTCACTATTATACTGTTTTTAAGTTCTCTACCCCTAAAATGAGTATTTCTAAGGTATTTACTGTCTAAAATGAAAATCCAACCAGTGCAGTATTAATACATGAATCAAAAATATTATTGTTCTAGCTATTGTTATAGTATCTGTGTTCCCTTTGAAATAGAGGTCTCATTACTCTGTCACACCACTAGGTGGCATTGTAAGACTATGGTGACACATGAGCAGTAATTTATCCCAGACCTCATCACTCTTGTGTGTACATTATATGTGTGTGTGTGTGAGTGAGAGAGTGTACCTTCAGCACCATGCAGTAGTCTGTAGGAGCCTTGAACTTGCTCTTGTAGTCCTGGCCGTGGTACACGTTAACGTGATCCAACTGGAGAAAACACACCAGGTCTCTGGACGCCTACACAAACACACACATTCAATCTTTTTTCAGTTTTACAGTATTAACAATTACTGTTAAACACAATCCTGTTCCATATAGCCCTCTCAGTTTATTTCCATTACACTCACCTTGGCCTTTCCCTTGGGGACGTAGTAGATGCCAGAAGCTCTCAGCAGGAAGTAGCGTTTCTTCCACGACTTCTTCCCATCCTCTTTCAGCCACAGCACTCCCTCCATCTCAGGGACGGACACTGAGCTGCCGCCAAAACACTCCTGACACACATACACACACACACACACACACACACACGTACACACAGAACAGATACTCATTGGTGCTTGTTCAATTTTAGCCCACACCACATTTTTACCAGTTGAACTAAAGAATGTGTGAGCGCCTTCTGTTGACCGACAGACTGGTGCAAGAGCAGAGTGAAGAATTATTCACCACTCTCACACAGGTTTGTTTTCTGGATCTCCTATTAATTCAGGTAAACTCAGATAACTGACTGCTTATTAGACATTCATACCAATCAGACATGTAAAAGAAACATCATTACAGTTGAGTATCACAACATTTTGTTTTCTGACATGGTATTGATTCTCAAAGACTATCCATTTGTTATTACTAGTTAAAAACTGGCATACATACTACAACGGAATGTGAACCTTTAAAGCAGGATCTAAACATATATACTGTGTGTATATGTATCACTGTATAATATAACTTAATTTGTTTCCTGAAAGCACTTTTATTTTTATTTACTAATAAAACAAACGTTAATTAATTTGCCCAGATCTGTCTGTTATGACTGCATAACGTAAACTTTTGTTTAACTCAGATTTTTATTCTGGTGTGCTTTTTATTAGGGTTGAGCGAGTACTGGGCTGAATTGAGTATCCGGTTCAGATAATGTACTTTTTATGAATATCAAGTGAATAAAATGTGTCAATATATGTACTTTTTATACTTTTATAAATTAAAACGTCTGTAAATACTTCTCTCACTCTTGTGATCAAACACATTACTCTGAAGCTCAATTCTGTAAATAGTTTTTCTAATAAGCAACTTTTGATCAACACTTTGGATTTAAGCCCCGCCCATTCAGAGTAGAGATACGAATACAGGTCTTTAAGTTGGTTGAACAGATATTTTCAACCAACTTAATTATTCTTCCTGTTATTCTTTCTTATACGATGAAAGTTTACCTAAAATTATTTATTTTAAAAATCGCAATATATAGCCTTGCTTACAGTGTCCCAATATATGGCACTATATATGGAATCGTCACCCCTGTATAATCATACGTATCGCCTGATTCTTGCCTATGAATGAACAATCAATTGCCTTTCTCGGCTCTGATTGGTTGTTTTCGTTCAGGCCCGGTGGATTCTTGCAGTTACCATTAGGAGCAGCAGGAGGAGTCAGAGGAAGCTGATTTTT